ATCATTATTTTAAAAACGTATTTACATAATATTGATGCGATGTGGCCCACTTCAAAAGCGTTAAGCATGACAAGCGCGGCCGCACGGTGTGACCCAATGCACCTCTCTCCGTGCGAGTCCGTGCACCCCTCTCAGGGGCTCTCAGTGCGAGTCCGTGCACTCCTCTCAGGGGCTCTCCGTGCGAGTCCGTGCACTCCTCTCAGGGGCTCTCAGTGCGAGTCCGTGCACTCCTCTCAGGGGCTCTCCGTGCGAGTCCTGAGAGCCTCCTCTCCTTCAGGCAGGCACGGCTGAGAGCTTGTCTCCTGCGGGTGCATTAAGTGGGAGCTTATCAAAGCGACGTCCCCCTCTGTGCTCTGTATGCCCTCCGCATCCCCAGGGCTGGTGCTCCGGTCTTCCGGCTTACCCGCGCTCTGGGGTAATGAGTCACCGTCCGAATCTGCCGACGAACAGCCACCCGATGATCTGCTGCGCTTCTTTTTCTTCTTGCTCTTCTTCTTCTTACTCTTCTTAGAGTGTTTGTGGAGTCGTGGGGCAGGACAACCATCTGAAAGTTCAGCAGTTCTCTCCGGCTCCTTTGAGCTGCGCTTTTTCCTTGAGGAATCTTTGCTGCTGGATGTTCTTCTCTTTGGACTCAAGGAATTTGACAAAGACCTGCTGTTCTGGTCCAGGGGAGAACCATTGCTTTTCTCTGGCTTGACCCCATTCTTATTTCCATTTCTACTCCTCTCCTTGCTCCTTGATCTCTCTCTTCGGAAGCTGGGCTTATTCCTCCGTGATGACTGGAGGGACCATCTTCTCTCCCAACTCCGGCTCCGCCTCTCCCTGCTCCGGCTCCGCCTCTCCCTGCTCCTGCACCGCCTCTCCCTGCTCCGGCTCCGCCTCTCCCAGCGTCTACCGTATGACCTGTTAGGGCTGTAACTGCGCTGTCCACGTGATCGGTCTCTGCGCTCCGAGTGCCTCTCAGAGTAGCGACCCGAGAGGGCACCCCCTCGCTCCGGTGATAGGTGCAAATCACGGTCTGCTTCCCAGTATTCATTGCCAGGGTTTCTGTAGACGTGCAGGAAGTTGCAGTGCTTTCCCTTGGGACACTTATGCCTGTCAAATAACCCTATAAGTAAAAATGTTCATAATCAGCACCAATAAGATCACCAAAAGAGAGACATAAACATTTTATAATTTAACTGAAAATCTGCTGCTTGCTATTGCGGGATTCCGTACCGCATATGGCAGTTTTCCACCTTGTGACTGGGGAGAATTCGCACTGGAGCTGTTTCCCCGCATACCACCGACCATTAAACATCAAAAACGCTTCTTTGCATTGATCTTCCCTGCAAACATGACAAAACCAGATATCCAGTGAAATAAGCCAAGAGCATGCGCACACACACAGGTTACAGACAAAAACCTTACAACTACTACTGATACTGTCCACTAATATGAAGTCTAAAAGAAAGTAAATATAGGTCAGAAAGAGTTCATTCGCAGTGTCATCTTTTTTCTACTTACGTGTCATACTGTACATAGACATTTCCTCTTAAGTGAGGTTCAAAGTTACAGCTGACCTACACAGAAAAGAAAACTTCAGGTCAAATTACAATATACTCTAAGCAGTTTGGCACCCTAAGAAATATTGGACAAAACAATATTTAAGTCGTAAGACTAATACGATCCATCCATCTTCTAACTTCTCATCTAGGTCAGGGTTGCCCAGTTGCCCAGAGCCTACCCCAGGCAGCACAGGGCACAAAGCTGAGGTATACCCCAGTACACCCTGAGTTGGATGCCAGTCCACTGCAGAGCACACAGACGCATGCAGTTACACTAAGGGTAATTTACAAATCTCAGTTAGCCTAACAGCATACTGTTGGACTGTGGAAGGAAACTGGAGTAACCAGAGACTTAAATAGCCAGAGGTTCCAGCTCGAGGACTGTGACCTACCTTAAACTGTACCACCTTCCCTGCACTCTTGAATTCAGGCAAGACGTCCTCAAAGAATTCAAGAAACTGTTGCTGCACGTCCTCCTCACTATACTCCAGACTGGCGTCGGTGTCATAGTCATCCCGTCGGCACTGTTCCATGCCAAACGTAACAAACATCCCCCTGATCATTAGAGTGCTGCTGCAGGTGGGGTGTGCATGCTTACGGGAACATCTGGGGGGGGGGAGGGACAAAAACTCCATGCAGCCGTTATTAAACAAACAAATTAGGTTATACTGTAAGTTCAACCAGTAATAAATTGAATTTAAAAGTCAACCAACCTTTCACCAAATCTACAGGCTCCCGTCTTAAGAAAGAAAGGACAGTTTGCTCTATCTTTCTCTGTCCCATAATCCATTGGGGCTTCAGGGTTCTTCCACAGACCACTACAGTCCAGCTAATCAAATAATATATGGGAGGAAAAAAGTAAATATATATATTTTTTTAAATACTTTGCTAAATCAAACGATTAAAGAAAATATAGTCAAACTGAAATATTAATATAAATCAGCATAGTTATTACAAAATTGGCTAGCTAATTTATTTTTGAATACACGATTCAAATACTTAGAATTATAATAAAAGCTGATGAATAATACCGAATTTCCAATAATGTATATGAATGCATACCTGGCTCTCAGCTTGGTCTAACATTTTCTGTACAGCTTCCTATAAACGATGTAAACACAGGACTGGTGAAAAAATCTGTAGTGGGCTAGAAAATATCTGAAAGCATTAGTTAAGAACACATGGCAGACAGGCACTGACACTAGCAGAGGATGTCTGGAAGCGTTAGCAAACAACACATCAAAATAAATGAAGGAAAAAATAAATAAAAATCAGCAGAGTGCACACCCCCCGATCTTACATGTATAATTACATCAATATCAATGATATAGACAAGAATCACAGAGCTATAAACACACTATATTCAGGAAAAAGATACATCCATGTCCTGTGGGAACAGGTAACTGCGGCATTGTCACTCTTTACGTGTACGTTAGTTAAGGAAAGTCAGAAAATGGAAAAATCTTACAGGTAAAACCAGAACACATCAATTGCAAGGATCCAAACTGCAGCTCTCTTAAGGACCAGCATAAATACTTAGCCAACCTGCAGCCGTGTGATACAAAACCATTCTGAAAAGAAGGATGATTTGTCACATAATCTAACAAAGAGGATATGTTGCTTCTTATCCCTCTCTATCCTCCTAGTGCACAGATCACCTCTCTATCTCTCTTCTCCTGTTGCTTCTGCTCCCGCTCTTCCTTTTCCCTTTTTTCTCGCGCCTCCCATTCCTCCTTTATTCTTCTCTGTAAGTCAGAAAGGACAAAAAAAAACAAGTTACAGACAATAATTTGGTTACTGGATTATGCATTTGAAAAAGGCCACAAATTAAAGTTACCAACACGAGACTTCCACTAATCACTTACTGCAGTTTCAGGCAAACCCAGGACATGACATTCGTCGACTTTTCCCCCCAAAACTGAGCATCAAAGGGTACTCAATTTCTTTACCTCCTCTTCCTCCTGTTTCCTTTTTGCCATCTCTTCTCTCTCCCTTATCAGGTTAAACTCCTCCTGGGCAACACGTTCTCGCTCCATCCATTCCAAGTGCAATCTCTGCCTGAATTAGATACCACACTATTCTCAACATGCCAGTTTAAGCATCATATTACAACAAATACTCATTTACTTAGTTCTTCAGACATACCTCTCCTCCTCCATCTTCCTCTCCTCCTTTTCGTCTCCTTCCTCCGCTTCCTGCTGTTCTCCATCACCTTGTAATTCTACAGAAATTCCACATTAACAGTGCTAAACAGCAGCACACTAAAATTGAATTCCGCACCCCTGCCGAGCTACAAGAAGCCTCCCGCTTACCTGAATCTCGGACCTTCGCGAGTGCTTGGCGTCTCCTCTTCCTTCTCTGTTTTTTGACAGTAGCACGGCGCTGGTTTTGTCTAGAATACAAACGTCCATATAGTGAACACTTTTAAAACCAATACTGCTATCGGCTCAAAAACACCCCATTTCCAGGTTTAATTACTTACCTCGATACAGACCCTGCAGCTACTACTGCTGCTGCTGCTGCTGCTATGGGAGCCGCCATTTTGCCGCATGTGTTTTCAGCGCCTCCAAATCTGCAACGCAACTACATACAGTATATGCATTCAGTAAATTCAGTTGTATCAAGCGTATCCGAATATTCATAAATATTTTTTTAAAAATACGTATACGTTTGCTTCCGAATATATATATATATATCTGCCATTTCAGTCGCGATCTAGATTATACAAATATTCAGGTATCAACACCTACATTAGACTGCATTAAAATGAATGTCATTTAAAATGCACTAAACATACTATTAAATACCTGATACACAGCTAACCATCAGTAAACACTCTCAGCCTACTCTTTGGCAATGGCACGATACGAACAGCAATTGTGACGTCATCACCGAGCGCCGTCTACGGAGGTCACGCGACGGGCAGCTTTTTCGATGTAGGGAACAACATGTTGGCCGTGTCTGTGCCTCTGTGGCCCATTGAGTGGTATTTCTACTGTATTTTCAGTTTTACAATAACAAAGAAAATAAATGAATAAATATTTTTAACGTCGTAAAAATATGTCTGCCATCTGTATTTTTGTTTTAAACATATACAAGGATAGGATTGTAAATCGAAATATACAAAAGAGATACTTCCCCTTCTTTTAATAAATTGGTTTAATAAATTGACTGTGTGCATGATTCAAATAAAATAAAAAATATTGAATCAGATCACATACCGCAAAAACCATCTAGATGCAACCTGTTTAAGACACTATAAAAGTAGCAAATTAAGTTCATATTTTTTCTTCCTGTTGTTGAAATTCAAGTTGCCAACTTTTATTTTATGTTAGGTTTTTCTGCAGCCTGAGGTATTACCGTGGACGGAGGTCCCGCAGCTTACAGGCACACTTCGGGAGGGAGGTGTGATAGGACCGTGAGCGGAGGCGCGCCGATTTACGCCATTGCACATGCTCTCTGTGCTCGAGCGAAGGCGCGGGTCCGCGGCTGCGAAAAGGAGAAGGAGAGCGGACGGGCCACAGGAAAAGCTCCTTTAACACAGTAATATAGGAAACCGAGGAGGAATTACTTTCTCTTTTTTTTACGGCGACTACTTACAATATTGGAAATTACTCGTTTCTGCAGGCAGTGAGAAATGGCGGACAAAGAAGGTACACTCATTGTTTTCTGTAGTTCCTGGGTGTCTGTCTTAAACCTGCAAGCCATTTGACACCTCATGCCTTTAGAACAAGACTAATATTTGAAGAAATATCGGGTCCATTTTCCTAAAGATAATGTTGCGGATGTGTAAAATGCAAGAGTGTTGACTGTTTTGGAGATGTATTCGATTTTTCCACATTGTAACATTTGGTATCAATTTAAAGACGGCGAATCTTATGGTCAATCTGCGCAGATGAAAATGCATAAAGCATGGGAACTTCACATAACTATAAATAACTATTTTCGCGTTTCGCTTTAATATCAGAATAAGAGATTACAACAATGTCGTATTTTCAATTCGGTAGATACTTTCAACTAATGTTTTATGCCATGTGCCTGTGTTTGTTTCTTCTTATTTCCTTATGTAGTTTACGACGATGCAGTGGAGGAACGGGTCATCAATGAGGAGTACAAAATCTGGAAGAAAAACACGCCTTTCTTGTATGATCTGGTGATGACCCACGCGTTAGAATGGCCCAGCCTCACGGTGCAGTGGCTTCCTGATATTAACAGGTACACGATCACCGTCCTGAAGGTGCCACGCGTCCTTCTCACCCGTCATTATTGTGGCATATGCCAATGTTCCTCCTTATCACAAAAAAATGGAGGCTGGACTGCCAGATATGTGGGGGTAATGATTTTTGGCATCAGTTAATTGCTGACAGGTTTGCTGGTGTGTTCTGTTCCTGCACAGGCCAGAGGGTAAAGATTACGCCGTCCACCGCTTGGTGCTGGGCACTCACACTTCTGACGAGCAGAACCATCTTGTCATAGCCAATGTCCAGATCCCAAACGATGATTCACAGTTTGATGCCTCTCACTATGACAGCGAAAAAGGAGGTGAGTATTCAAAAAAAAAGTATTCTGGAAACTAAGGACACTGGGAAAAGTAATATGTTGGTTATATTATTGCTGGATAAAGGATGATTATGTTGATTGAATATTGAATGTCATCATGTATTCATTAACATTATCAAGAAATAAGAGCTTGATTTCTTTCTTTTTTTCCCTTTTCCAGCGGGTAAGAACTAAACTTCCTTTATTCAGACATTGCTGGACTCTGGGGTATTAGTAAGTGAGATCATTGCATCAGTCAAGAGCAAGCAGGAGGTGTCAGTGGAGGTAGATTGTTTTCGTTTCTTCTTTGGATCTGACAGTGCCCCCCCCCCCCCCCCCCC